GCGTAATGTTGACCTCATTACCCACCGAGTGCCGATTGGTCTGTAAAAATATAGGTGCTTTTCTCATATGCCCGATGCGCATAGAGGCGTGAAAATGGATCTTTACTTAACTTTTACTTCTTTGATCGCATCAACACTGCAGGCGTCCCCTTTTTCAGGGTTTTTGGTGGCGTGCAGTGCTAAGCCGTTTTATATGGCGCACATAATTTGGTCACAATTATACCCTAAAGCTCTCCCTTTGGGGAAGCTGGTTAAAAGCACCTACCGACCTACTTGCGAGGACATAAAAGAACTACGTTAGCACAATCAGTTCGTAAGATCTTTTTTTTTTAGATTCTCGGTTCGCACAAAAGATATAAACTTGATTATGGTTTTAGCTTAGAAATGCACTTAAATATTTTCGACCAGGCAAACAGATCTGAGAGCTGAATATCAAAGACTGACGGTGAAGAGATGCCCTCTTTCTCTTCCTTGTAAACATCAACAGATTTCGTAAATTGAACCAGGTCTGCAAAAGCCAGCTGTTGCAAAAGCCAGCTGTTCGAACCTCTAAGCTTTACAGCATTTAATTTCAACTCATTATATGGACACTGATACAGTACTTCAAGTCACAAACAAAGAAACTCTAGACTGTATGATAACCAAGAGTAGATGGAAATGGCTTGGTCATGTTAGGAGAATGAATCCTGATATACCTGCTAAAACAGCTCTCACATAGACACAGAGGAAAGAGAAAGAAGAGGTGCCCAAAAATCAATACGGAGATGGAAAGTGACCTGGGTGAGGCATCTCTGACATGGAAAACTGCATTAAAGATTGCACAGGACATGAAAGCACGGAAAGTCCTCTCTGAAGCCTCAAGTTCCACTAGGCATCAAGAGAACTGATGATGGTGATATGATACAGTACGCAACGTTTCGCATAATCACCTTAATTTTTTCTCCAGGGCATGAGAGAGCAAACGCCCTGGTTGGCAGTGAAACAATTAGGAATGGGCCCTCTATGACAAGAGAAACATCATCAATGTCATTCAAGAGACTAAACGTTGTAAGGGGGCTTTTTATTTCGTGGAAAATGATCTTTCACTGAATAGACTATACACCCCTGGTGTACCAACTGGAGCAACAAGTCAGAAAAACAATACGGAAGCCTTTTGTCGTTGCATCAAACAGAACAGAATGGGAGTTGTTAGCCTAAAAACACTTGAAGACTTACTCCGCAGTAACAGCGAAGAAAGTAACTAAACATGAGAATGGTGTTCGCGTTTCTGGTCTCGTCAAATAGTAAAACATATTTTTCAGGCGGCAAAGTATCTCCCCCACCCCCTCCTATTCCCCCGCCATAGGGCCCCGGAACATACATAGTGAGGACTGAAGGGTTAGATGGGCAGGGATGTTAATGGGCGCCCACACACACACACACATACACACACGAACACACAAATGCACATGCCCACACAACATTAGAGGGATCATCTCACACATTTTCTATGGATATAGTGGGGTGGAGGCGGGGCGGGGTTGCAGCTTTAATGGCCTAATCATTCCCGTAGTTTAAAAGCGTTATAATAATATTTTTAATAATGTGCTGAATTTCAAATAAATATAATAATAAATTTGAAAATCAAATTATTACGAATATTATGAACAAGTATTTTAAAAAAGAAAACTTCATGAATTGTCACGAATTACAAAAAACAATGAAGTTCATACTAGAGACAATATTGCAGATTTGATAATCTACTTCAAGTGAATGAAAGAAGAAGAAGAAGAAGAAGAAGAAGAAGAAGAAGAAGAAGAAGAAGAAGAAGAAGAAGAAGAAGAAGAAGAAGAAGAAGAAGAAGAAGAAGAAGAAGAAGAAGAAGAAGAAGAAAAAAAAAAGAAAAAGAAGAAGAAGACGAAAACTGTTTCTTCTGTTCACTACTCCTGGAATGCCTCGCGGAGTCAGGGCGGGAAGAGATCCCTGGAATGGGCCCTTCTGTTCCCTTCGTATATAATACTTTTCAGTGTCCCTGATACTTCTGCGGTCCATATTCTGCGTGGTCGAGCTCTAGTTCTGTTACCACTGTATCTGAATAACATTGCTCTCGGTGTGCCCAGTCTTATTCCAATCTTGTTACATGGCCAAACCATTTGATTTGTTATCTACCTATAAAGTTCAGTATTGGTTCTGTGCCAACTCTTCTCCTGACATCAATGTTCCTAGGTAGATCTTTCCTCTTTTACACCCAGCATAGTACGTGAACATTTCATTTATGGCGTCACTATTTTCCTTCTGTCTTCTGGAGACAGTGTCCATGTTTGACATTGATAGCACAGCGTTGGTAAGAATAATGTGTTGAACAGTGTTCTTTTAGTGTTCACATTCACATACCTGCATTAAAAATGTGTGCTATTTTGCCTTAAACTTGATTGGCTTTATTGCATCTTTGTTAGATTTCTTTATTAATTCTTCCGTCGGTTAATTCGACGTTAGTCTCCCCAGATCTCGCCCATATACACACTAGCTCACTTCTGATTAGTAGTTCCCGAGCCGAGTGATCTTCGCACAAGGTTACGGGGCTGTTCCGCAATGCCGTTGATATCGCTTGTTGTATATTTCAGCACGCTAGCGCTTTCAACACTTGAAAAACATTTAGAAACTGAGTCTAACACAAACCCCATAGAGAGTGCTGCAACCTATGTCACACGTATTCTCGGAATGAAAACCTGAAGGCAAGACATCGGAGAAACCAAACAACAGAGCGGGACAAACCTTCAGGAAAGTCGACCAGCTAAAAAAACTTGTGAATGAAAAAATGACCTACTCTATTTGGGTAGATTAACGTCGAATTAACCCTTCCGTCTTCTAAAAAAAAAAAAAATGCCTTACAGGTATGTTAAGCTTTTGGTCTGCTTTAACTGATGTTCGTCAATTTTAATATTGGTTGATTCTTCCTTTTCTGGAGAATATAAACACTTCTTTTTGTCTACGTTGATCTTCATATCATAGTTTTCTGCATTCTGAGTGGAATCTGTGGATATGTTCTTGTAGTTGTACTGCTGTTGGTGCTATGACTGCCTAGTCAAAAGAAATCATTAAGTAATTCTCTGGTGTTGTCTCCCTCGCTGATGTTAGCTGATTTGCAAATTTGGTCGACGTTTGTCATCAACACTAGTTGTGATTTAAGGGCCCCGGTCTCATTCCAGATCTAATTTAGAACATTTCTGACATTAAAAAAGAAAATTATACATGGTAATTCCCTTTAAAAATGCCTGGGGGAGGGGGGGGGTGAGGGGGGCCGAGGAGGGTAGACTCAAATGGGCCAAGCACTAATGTTGAGCTAGCTGGACCCTAACTGAATACCGCCGTGAACCACCAACATGATTTAAGGAAGGGACCGCAGGTCTCCTCTTCGCTATCTCCATCAATTTGCAACGGGGCTAAGCTACTTCATCACCCCCCCCCCCCCCACTTTCACCATGTAAAGATGTTATCTTTTACAGTTTTTTTTTCCTTTACTACTCCTACTACCACTACTACTACTACTACTACTACTACTACTACTACTACTACTACTACTACTACTACTACTACTACTACTACTACTACTACTACTACTACTACTACTACTACTGCAGCTGCTGCTGCTGTTGCTACTACTACTACTACTTTTTTTACTTCTTCTTCTACTACCACCACCATTATTATTATTATTATTATTATTATTATTATTATTATTATTATTAGTAGTAGTAGTAGTAGTAGTAGTAGTAGTAGTAGTAGTAGTAGTAGTAGTAGTAGTAGTAATAGTAGTAGTAGTAGTAGTACGATTTTAAAACGAGGATTTAGCCCCTCCTCCTCCTCCTCTTCCTCCCCCGCCTATAAAGTTTAAGGTTGTTCAGGTTACGTCCACCTTCTCCCCCCCCCAATTCCCCCAATCAAGTATTTTCTTTGCGTCAGCGCGCCTCAGCCGAAAGTGTTGAGTTTAGTTGAGTTGAGTCAGAAATTTACATCACAGCACTCGGGGCATTCCCATGCATACTCCGTCCTCATCTTCAGCAGCCAGCGCAGAGTTACAGTACTGATGGTACCGGTCACAATCTGGTTATATGTCCGTCTTGCCTCTCCTCTGAGTGTAGTGAGCCGGCCAGACCATCTGGTTACACCCAGATGCCTCATTCTCTCCAGGCAACAATAATCTTCTATCTCTACTAATTCCGTTTGCTTGTTCCCAAAGGGCCTTGACCACGTTTGCCTTGTCATGTCGCAATTCACCACCCAGTGGTGCAGATTCAGTCAATATGTCTGCCTGTTCATTACCCACCACGCCGGCATTGCCTGGAGAAAAAATCCAAAGTATGCTCACTATCGGTGACCTTTCAGTGAAGCTTGCCACTCTGCACGAAGCATCCCTGTCTTCACCTTTCTCAGCATGCTTTCTGTTACAGTTATGACGTGTGTATGCTCATTGTTCTCTAGCCAGTAGAGAGCTGCAGTTACCGCCTCCATATCTAATATCATGCTAGTGGTGTCGTATGATAGGCTGTCTTGCACTAAAGATTTTCCATCGGCTTTTCCTACGAGCTCCCAGGCACTTCGCTTTCCTCTGAACACCGAACCATCTGTATAGATAATTAAATCACCTGGGCGTAAATTGTCGTGATTCAACTGTTGGACTTCCAACGCCTTAGCACCCGCTTGCCACTCTCTGCCCACTCGGTCCAATCTGATCATAAATCTACACATGTTAGACTTTTTCGCTGGTACTCTGACCCACTCCTCACCTCGTCCATTGTTCTACAGTATTCATACTTGTCTTATTGAGTCTTCTGCTTGAGCAATCCACGAAAGTGTTGTTCCTGGCTAATTCAAATTTCAGGTTACTAATTATCTTCAACCGGAAACTGCCCTTGTTGTCATGCGCACAAGTTGAGCAGTCAACGTTGTCAACTTGAACAGCAAGCACAAAAGACAAAAGCTCGTCTCACAGACACTGCTCAAAGCGTTCTCATACCGAAATGCGTCACTCTCATGTCCGAGAATATTCAAAATCACATGTAAATCAGACATTACCACCTGTCGGTAATACTAATACGGCGAAAGTGGACGTTGAGCATGTACAGCCGTCTCAGTTGGCAACAGAAACGATGCCGCCATCGGCTTTGAATCAAGATGTTGGCGATAGTAAAACTAGCCTGCCTCTACCAAACCCGGGGTTATATGAAGATCTTCACAAAACAACAAGAGGTATTTGTTATTTACTCTTGAAAATTACTCTTGAAAAGGAATGTGTACTTTATTGAAGTAAATTGAACTCTTAGTTTTTGTCCATTATCCCCAGTTGGAAACACAACTGTTCCAGTTTTTGCCATCCCTAACAGGTCTGTTAATTATCTATCGTCTTATTTCTTTTTGCCATAATACATTATCTTGAGTAAATAACGCTGTTGTATTCTTCATCCTTGTTGTTTTCGGCTCTCCTGTCAAATCCGGACGAAGAATAAAAAGCCTTGGACGACTTAGTCAGAGTTCTCTCCCTTGGCCGCACTGCAAACAGTGATCGGAAAAGCCAACGAAACAAACGACACACTTACCTATCATCATACGGTTGCGTGTAGGGCTGCGTACGGTTGCGTGAGGCAATGTGAAGGGATGCGTAGTCATCATACGGTTGCGTGCAGGGGTGCGTACGGTTGCGTGAGGCATCGTGAAGGGATGCGTAGTCATCATACGGTTGCGTGTAGGGATGCGTAGTGTTTGGGTTCGAGTTAGGGGTAGGGTTAGAGTTAGGGGTAGGGTTAGAGTTAGGGGTAGGGTTAGGGTTAAGGTTTAGAGTTAGGGGTAGGGGTAGGGTTAGGATTAGGGTTAGGGTTAGGGTTGGGGGTAGGGTTAGGGTTAGATGTGAAAATTTTGACGTAGGATTTCGAAATACTGGCCGACAATCTGATGTTTGTGGGAGTGGCGCCACTGAAACTCTGCCAAATATGACGCCAATAGCGTGCGGCTGGTGCCCCCAATCGTTGGCGAAATGTGCGTTTGACCAGCATCCAGAGGCCCTCAATTGTTTGTGTGTGTATGGGACTGTGCGTGATTATAGGGAACTCCGGCGTCAAAATTGTCAAATCTAACGCTAAACCTAACCCTACCGCTAACCCTAATTCTAATCCTACTCCCTAGCCCTAACCCCTACCCCTAACCACGCAAATTTATCGATCATTAAAGCATACAAATCGGCAAAAACCAACAAACAAAACACACCCAAAAAAAAACCAGAATTGTCCTGCAGCGTCGAAAAAAAACCCAGATCTGGGGGAAACAGCCAAGCATTGGCAGCCCTGATGTCGACGTGACTGTCTTCTTTGTTTCGTTGGCTTTTCCGATCACTGTTAGCAGTGCGGCCAAGGGAGAGAACTCTGACTAAGTCGTCCGAGGCTTTTTAGTCTTTGTCCGGATTTGACAGGAGTACCCAGAATTGTACCCACGTGTTTTGTTTATTTTTTTCAGAGTTGTTCCCACAGGTGTTTGAAGGCGCCAAACTTGTGATTTCTAAAGGCCTGAGCAGCCATTTCCAGGTGAACCATACCTTGGCTGTGGGTACCAATACACCTTATCTGTACCGGTTTGGCACTACGTACATTGGCACAAAGCGCATGTCACCGACAGAGGTTGGTGTTTTTTTTTTTATCCAGAAACCAGAGTTATTAACCATTTGGCTCAGTATTATGGATATCGCAACTCTTCGACCTTGATTCCATGATAGGTACCGTAAATCTGGGAGAAATGTGTCTTTTTTTGCCTACCACCGGGAGTGAACCCGGCAGTTTTATAGAAATGCACAGTGTTTTATTTATTAACAGAACCAACATTGCTGCACTCAGCGCCACTCATTATAATAATATTATGTCAAACGAAATATCTACACACAAGGGGCAAGGGCCACCCCCCCCCCCCACCACCAGCTCCACCCTCAAAGTAGCGTGCGTCGCTGTAGCTCACAACGGTTTGAATAAACTGATCAGTAAACAACTGGTGACCCAAAGACGCGCTGTATTCTGGCTCTGTTAGAATGAAGCTCATAGCAGATAACTGTTGTTGGAAAGGAAAGTGTTCTGCCCGGACATATTCTAATCGACATAATTCTAATGACTTGGGGATGGTCAGCTCCTTTCTTCCATGATATGTTTTGTCAGGGTGAAGATTAAAAGACTTGTTTGACCGCAGGGCCTCTTTGTCATTAACAAAATCTACCACCACTGCTAGAGATTGAATGTGTACAACTGTCGTTTTATGGAAGGTGCAAACAAAGTAAAGGACTAATTTCTCACTCCTTGTGGCGTATTGGACATATAGTGCTAGACTTATATTGTATAGACCAATCGGCACTTGGTTGGTCATGCGGTCAGCATCACGCCGGTTACCTTTACATTCTAGGACTTTACACTGTATCCATTTTGGGCTGGGTCGACGTGGAAGCAAGATATTAAAAACAAAATTCCGGCTTGATGCGAATTTGAACCTGAAACCTTCGAACCCCAGACGAGCAACTAGCCGCTACACCACGATGGCTCCCGTATTTTCTAGACAATTCTATAAAATGTATAGGACCAGAACTAGTTTAACTGTAGAGGCTTACCTGTCACAAACAAAATAACCCTACCACTTCTAGAGATTGTCTTTTCATAACAGATGCAATAAACACTATTTTATCATGGCTTCACGTGCATCATCATCATTATCAGCATGTGCCGTGCCAATAAGCATTAGCGGTCATGTTTCGCCATCTCACACGATCACCAGAATCATGGATCAGATCGCTGCTCTTGTGTTGCTCCGTCCATGTGGCTAGGACATCCAAATATTTATCTATTTGGCTTTCCCTGCTCTTTTCTCATCCATCTTATCAGTCTTCGTGAATTTGTCGAATCCACTTCTTCTTTTTCTTCTGCAGCATTCCGATCCCTCGAGGTTCATTGCTGCAGATATCACCCGCCTCCGCCTCTCTGGTTAGCCTTCTCTTTCCAGTTGGTAACACCAAGTCTTTACAGGTCTGTCTGGATATTATATCTCCATCGTCTTCTTTGTCTCCCTCGTGGTTTACGACCATTCATCTCCCTGGTGTAGACAGTTTTTACTTCTCTCTCATCTGACATTCTTGCAATATGCCTCAACCATTTCAGTCTATTAGCTCTCATGATGCCAGATATCAGTGGTAATTTAAACATATTATGAATTTCGTTGTTGTTTCTCACTCTCCGTTCACCGCTGTTTGCATCTTTGATGGGTCCAAAGATTAGTCCTAATACTGTTTTCGAAAACCTGTAATAAGGCTTCTCCTCTTTCAGTTGTGCTCTAAGTTTCAGATCCATATAACACGACTGGTCTTATCAACGTTTTATATATTTTGATCTCGGTGTTGGGAGACTGACACTTTGACTTTAGCAGATGTTGAAGGGCAAAGTTTACTTTATTTCCAGATTGTATTCTAGATTGAATTTCTTCTCTCAGCATCCACTCCTTCTAATAAATCAGTTATCCGTTTCCATCTAAATCGAGGAGGTCTGCATCGTTTATGTTTCTATCATTCCGTTTAGGGGGGGGGGGGGGGGGGGGGGGCGGGGGCATATCCGCTGCACCATTTTTTTAATGGTAGTAGTAGTAATAATAATAATAATAATAATAATAATAATAGTAATAATAATAATAATAGCGATAATCAGGGCTTTTTATCTTGATTATCGAAGATGACAGTTATCACCACAGTGTCTATAAAGGTACTGGTACTCATTACAGTGTCTTTTACAGCAGCATTAACAGGTGTTGGTGCTGCGCACTGTTGCCTACCACCAGAAAGAAAATTCTGGTAATAAGAAGGAGAAGAATAATCGGACGTGGTGATATTGACCACATCATCTACCGAGTGCTGACTGGTCTGTGAAATTCAGGTCTAGCCCTACATGTCCAAACTCACGCAAGTGCGGAAAAGATTCCTTATAATAATAATTATAATTCCCCGTATGGGTTCCGGGGCCCTACTATGAGGAAAATAAGAATAGACTTACTGCCTACCCAAAAGCATGTAATCAGAGTCGACTAACTGGGAGCTTCCTTCGAAGTCGGACTGCATCTGCCTGAGAGGCAAGGAACCAAGAGTCTGCATACAGATCTGTCAAACGGATGCACACGCAGCACTCGTGTTCTGGAACAGGACTGCAGTCCAGAAGTGGACGAACAACTAGAACTTTCCACTCTAGTTTACAGCCAGTGAACGCGAAGAAGAAGAAGAAGAAAAAGAAAAAGAAGAAGAAGAAGAAGAAGAAGAAGGATCTTCTTCTTTAGCATTTGGAGCTCTTAAGGTTGGTTGCTGCAGATATCACCAGCCTACATTCATCTCTCTGGTTGGCCTTCATTCCGGTTAGTGACACCAAGTGTTTGCAGGTCTGTCTGGACATTATCTCTCCATCGTCTTCTTGGTCTGCCTTGTGGTCTAGGACCATTCATCTCCCTTGTGTATTCGGTTTTCACTTCTCTGTCATCTGACATAATTATATAATATTACGACATAATATTAACAGCAAAATAATAACGTAATAATAATAATTGCATAATAATAATAGTAATATTTATAATAATAATAATTAATATATGCTTATTTTCTGGACAATCTACAAGGCTTTTCCTGTGTTGCTGGGCGACGCAGACACTTGCGGCAATGTCAACGCACACTTTATGCACGCAATCACCGACAGATTCCGGATGAAGCTTCTTACCCAGGTAACTTGTGCTGTGGAATCATGGATACCCTGGTAATTAGGTAGGTATGTCATTGTTCCGCTCCATGATTGCTGCCCGTGAGATTAACACCTCAAGTTTGAGAATCAAACAGATGCAAAATTGAGAAATTTCGTGCAGCGGTATACGAGTTAAATAAGGGCACGCTTGTGCTCGTAGGAACAGAACTGCACGGACCCTGTTGTGAAGGGTTCACATCAAGAAGGGAATGAGAATGAAGGAAGAAAGGATTGCAGACAGGATGAGAGCTGAGCGTCAGAGAAGAAACAGACTAAATATTGGCGTCATCGGTCCTTAATTCCATCGCTATAATTTCGGACTTTTCTTAACGCGAGCGGTTCTTGTTAAACCATACTCCCTATCGCCATGGGCTGTGAGCCCCATGCCTCCCCATAGCGCTAATACTATCGTCTGGAAAGACAAGAAGGCACCAATCCAAGGGCACGCTTACTGTACCAGAGTAATATACAATGCTGTCCAATCAGGGAACGGAATGTTTAGGTTCTATGTTATCTCCTGTGTTCGTTGGACAAATCGTCATTAGCGCCTGTGCTTGGTATTGATATTGTTTGCTGTTATGAATACAACATGTTTTATAAATAAAATAGAAATTCAGTGTGAGTATTTTGAGGGGCCGTTATAAAAAACCGACTCCCCATGTGGGTTCCGGGGCCCTATTATAAGGGAAAAAAATTGACCCACTGCCGACCCAAAACCATGTCGTAAGAGTCGACTAATTGGAAGCTTTCTTCGAAGTCAGAATGCATCTGCCTGAGAGGCAAGGAACCAGCAGTCTGCAAACAAATGAATCAGATCTGTAAAACGGATGCACACGCAACACTCAGGTTCTGGAACAGGACTGCAGTCCAGAAGTGAATGAACAACCAGAACTTTCCGCCAGAGTTTACAGCTGGTGAACGCGAAGAAGAAGAATATGATAACCGACAGTGCTGGATTTAGGTACATGTTTGAGCTAAACAAGCTCGCGACGATATGTTTCACCATAACATCAGTACCTGTTGTAATGATAGCCATCACGTCTTGACAGATTCCTCCAGCGATCCCCACCCTACATATTTATTTAGGATGGGTGTGCCCCCCCCCTTCCCTTACCCCCGACCCAAAAAATAATTGTTTAAAGCGACTAAGAGGCGGGAGCCGTCTTGGTGTAGCGGGTAGACTCTCGATTGCGGATCCGACCGTCGTGGGTTTAGGTCCTGCCCGAGCCGGATTTTTTTTTAAAAATATTGGCCTTGACTCCCAGGTCGACCAAGCCTTTAATGGGTACTAGGTAAAGTCCTGGGAAGTAAAGGCTGCCTGCGTAATGTTGACCTATCACCCACCGAATGCCGATTCTTCTATAAAATTTAGATCTAGCCCTATTTGCCCAGTTCGCCTAAGAGGCTCCCGTTTACCATGTACCATAAAAAGAAACCGCAGATACATTTGCTAAGAAAGGGGCAGAATGTGAACAGGAAAAGAATGCAGTAACATACTATGAGAAGAAAAGGCCGTCCAGTTTATCAGAGTCTGGAGAGAGATGACTACCACTTACTTGACCGGCGTGGACAGGTTATTATTCTACACCTCAGAACAGGACATAACAAAAACTTAACACAAGCATATGCACTGACTTCGGCTCAGTAGTTTATTATCGTGCCCATATGGGCTGTGTGTGTAGAATGTCCCTTTTACAGCCTATTAAGAAAGGAATACTGGCCTAGTGAGTCAACACTGCACTCAAAGTTGTATGAAACTAAAAGGAAACCCCTAAAAACAGTCAAGTTTTACACAAGAACTTGTCTGTCGGTGTCAATTAGAAGCGAACACAAGAAAAAGGAAAAAGAAAGAAGAAGAAGCCATGTACAGAAATTCTCTTTAAATGTAGTTTAGCGGGCGTTGAGTATTGTGGTAAATATCACACTGGCTGGCTGCCTTATCTTACCAGGTCAATTCCTAGTACGGTTTTTAGTCTGGTTTGACTTTGGAGCACTGTGGATATTTTAAAATATCATATCTCGGGGGGATGTGTGAACACATAACCACCTTTACAGGAGGCAAAGATTGCTAGGCACAGTGCCTGACATTAATAGATGGCTAAGAGGTTTTTTTGTCGGCTTCTGTGGTTTAGGCGTTGCGAGCGAGATTCGTAATGCCGGGTTCGATCCTTGCTGTAAACGATTTGTCTTGCGTTGGTTTCGACAGTGATATCGAGAGCTGACCGTTCAGATTTAGTAAGAAACTACTGAACGTAATATTTGCCTAAAATACCACTACAGCAACAATAATAACAACAAAAAACTGCTGGGGTTGGTTCTGCAACATCATGTTAGGATACGCAAGTAACTTTTATAGAGGTTTTTCACGCCTTCACATTGTCATGATCCACGATTACTAGGGTTCGACTACCAATTTGGACCGTTTTTTTACAAAAACAAAAAAAATTGTTCTCTTGGTTTCGGACAGTAGTGCGGTAATCGAATCGTAGAAGACACGGGGCCTCGCCACCTCATGTTACCAAAGATATCAGTGGTACATTGTAACCACCCGTCAGTGTGGAGAGGGCACATAATTTTTCTTTCAGGTATGATCTCTTCAGCTCTTAACTCTTTCATCTCTACGAGGCATCACAGTAGATGCATATTCAAGGAAATAACATCAGTGGGAATCATCATTGCTGCACCACTTTCGATGAATGGTCATCATCGAAACACGATTTTTTTTTAAAAATATGATCAGAACAAATGTACACAAGTAAAAAACACATCCTGCGATTTAAAAGTCAAACACATTTCATGCGTCCCCACCCCCCCCCCCCCCCCCCTTTTTTTCAATGGATACGTCAGTGGTAAATATGAAGACATATTTTATGCGCGCTATCACTGACAGATTAAGAATTAAACTTTTTACTCTGATCATCATCAGTCATCAGTTCTCGTTATGCCTAGTGGCAAATGAGGCTTCAGAGAGGATTTTCCATGCTTTCCTGTCCTCTGCAATCTTCAGTGCAGTTTTCCATGTCAAAGATGCCGCACTCAGGTCACTTCCCACCGTTCGTCTCCCAGCAGACTTGTTTTCCCATCATGGGCTTCCTTTAGGCTTTCACCCATGTTGTTCATGCTGACAGAGGGACTCTGTCCCAAGACCACCGGACGTTTAGAGCACTTATTTCCTCTTGAAGTTTCAGTAACGTTGTAGATTTTTTTACAGGGCAGAGCTGTCAACACTGCGCACAACCCCCGAGCCTGGAGGACCGGGGGATCCATCTTTAGTCTGGCCTCTCCCCAATGACCTGTCCGGTTTGGGTGACCCTGCCAGGAACATACGTTCCCGTTTTTACTCTGATAAAAAGCCTGAATTGTTTGTTAATAATAAGAGCAGAAGACTTGAGAGAAATGATCAGGTCCCCCTGCAATTTCACCAAAAGAACATGCCGTAAAAGGCGACTAACTAGGGATTTGCTGGTCAGATGTATTAGTCGGAAAGTCCCCGTACATTGCCGCCTAGCTGTAAAACGCAACAAAGCCTTTTAACTGCCATTATGAGGGCCATCACGGAAGAAACACCATAAGCCTTGTGAATATATTTCTCAACTGTTATACTGTTGTTGGGTTTTTTTCCCTTTCTCTGGGAAAAACAGTTTCAGCCAAGCAAGTGCGTCAACCATCAGTTATCGTTTGACTACAAGGGAGGTGACTACACACTGGCTCTGACGGCAGGAAACCTCGACCCAATCAGTTTGACAGGTTCGTATCTAGTCATCATTCTTGTACCAGTTAACAAATATAATAAACAAAAGTCTTTTTTTTTTTAAACGCTAATTCATTTTTTTCTAGACCAATCAACACTCAATGTGGTCACACCACATCATCACACGGGAGCTGCGTTTGCCCCTAAGGGGTAGTTAGCACCTTCCATTGTGGTTTACAGCTAGGATATGATATCTGTGCTTTCGGACAGGTACATCTGATTTCAGCAGTTTCCTAATTTGTCACGTGTTACAACATGGTTGTTTGGGACAGTGGCTATGATCACCCCCCCCCCCCCATAGGGCCCCGAAGCGCAGAGAGGGAAAAGATGATGATGAAAAGAGCTGGGTATCCCACTTTATACGACATCGTCTAATATATTACGCTGTCTGCCTAAAGACCGTGGGTTCGAATCCAAATTTTCACAGATGACCTTGGCTCCCAGTTAAAATTTGGTGCCAGGTTAAGTCCTGTGATGTAAAGGCGGCCACTGGGGTTTGACTATATAATCGAGGGGATACAAAAGATATAGTCTATAGAAATATTCAGCGTCACGCACAGCACCATTTGTTTAGTCTTAAATCCGCAGCCATGTGTATTATGGCTTCAACGATAGGTAGCCTCGCGATTATAGTTGCACGTGATCTTAAAGCTTCAACAATTTGTAGCATCCCACTCATAGCAATTTGTGTAGCATTATTGATGCAACCACTTGTAGCCTAACTTGTAGCTATGCGTAGCGTCACTCTTGTAGCTATGTGTATAATCACATCTGTACCATATGTAGTATCACACCTGTAGCTATTTCTAGCATCACAACTATAGCTATATGTAGCATCAAACCTGTAGCTATATGAAGCAGCATTCTTGTAGCTATGTATAGTATCACTCTTGTAGCTATATGTAGCATCACTAATGTATCAGTGTGTTTGCATCACGGCTTTAGCTATGTGTAGCACCCGTAGCTATATATATAGGATCATCCCCGTAGCTATTTATAGCATCACACCTGTAGCTATGTGTAGCATCACACCTGTAGCTATGTGTAGCATCACACCTGTAGCTATGTGTAGCATCACACCTGTAGCAATGTGTACCATCAAACTCACAGCCATAAGTAGCATCAGACCAGTAGCTACTTGTAACCTCACAGCCGTGTATAGTCTCAAAAATCACAACCGTGTCTTATCCTACTATCACAGCCATCTGTAACCTCACACTCACAGCCAGAGGTATGTGTAGCATCACACGTGTAGCTATGTTGAGCATCACAGGTAAAGCATCACACCTGTAGCTATGTGTAGAATCACAAATGTAGCTATATGTAGCATAAAACCTGTGGCTATATCTAGCATCACAACTGTAGCTATATGTAGCACACCTCTTGTAGTTATGTGTAGCATCGCACCTGTAGCTATGTGTAGCATCAGACCTGTAGCTATATGTAGTATCACTCGTGTAGCTATATGAAGCATCACACCTTTAGCTATATGCAGTAGCACACCTTTAGCTATGTGTAGCCTCACACCTGTAGCTATGTATAGCAGCACACATGTAGCTATGTGTAGCATCACACCTGTAGCTTTGTATAGCATCAGACTTAAGCCATGAGAAGCATCAAACCGGTAGCTACATGTAACCACACAGCCGTGTATAGTATCACAATCATAGCTGTGTCTAATCCCACATTCACAGCAACGTGTAACCTCACACTCACAGCCACCTATAACCTCACACTCACAGCCACATGTTACCTCACAATCACAGCTACATGTTACCTCACACTCACAGCAACATGTAACCTCACACTCACAGCCACAGGTAACCTTACACTCATAGCCTCCTGTAACCTTACACTCACAGCCACATGTTACCTCACACTCACAGCAACGTGTAACCTCACACTCACAGCTACATGTTACCTCACACTCACAGCCACATGTAACCTTACACTCATAGCCTCCTGTAACCTCACACTCACAGCCACATGTTACCTCACACTCACAGCCACATGTAACCTTACACTCATAGCCTCCTGTAACCTTACACTCACAGCCACATGTTACCTCACACTCACAGCCACATGTAACCTTACACTCATAGCCTCCTGTAACCTCACACTCACAGCCACATGTTACCTCACACTCACAGCCACATGTAACCTTACACTCATAGCCTCCTGTAACCTCACACTCACAGCCACATGTTACCTCACACTCACAGCCACATGTAACCTTACACTCATAGCCTCCTGTAACCTCACACTCACAGCCACATGTAACCTCACACTCACAGCCACCTGTAACCTTACACTCATAGCCTCCTGTAACCTCACACTCACAGCCACATGTTACCTCACACTCACAGCCACATGTAACCTCACACTCACATCCACATGTAACCTCACACTCATAGCCTCCTGTAATCTCACACTCACAGCCACACGTTACCTCACACTCACAGCCACATGTAACCTCAAACTCACAGCCACGTATAACCTCACTCACAGCCAAGTGTAACCTTACACTCACAGACATGTGTAACCTCTCACTCACAGCATCGTGTAATCTCACACTCACAGCCACATGTAACCTCACTCACAGCCAAGTGTAACCTTACACTCACAGCCACGTGTAACCTCTCACTCACAGCATCGTGTAATCTCACACTCACAGCCACATGTAACCTCACACTCACAGCCCCGTGTAACCTTACACTCACAGCCACATGTAACCGCACACGCACAGCCACGTGTAACCTCACACTCACAGCCACGTGTAACCTCACACTCACAGCAACGTGTAACCTCACACTCACAGCAACTTGTAACCTCACACTCACAGCCACGTGTAACCTCACACTCACAGCAACGTGTAACCTCACACTCACAGCAACGTGTAACCTCACACTCACAGCCACGTGTAACCTCACACTCACAGCAACGTGTAACCTCACACTCACAGCCACGTGTAACCTCACACTCACAGCCACGTGTAGCCTGACACTCACAGCCACGTGTAACCTCACACTCACAGCCACTTGTAACCTCACACTCACAGCAACGTGTAACCTCACACTCACAGCCACGTGTAACCTCACACTCACAGCCACTTGTAACCTCACAATCACAGCTACATGTTACCTCACACTCACAGCAACGTGTAATCTCACACTCACAGCCACGTGTCGCCTTACACTCACAGCCACGTGTAGCCTGACACTCACAGCCACGTGTAACTATTCTTTTACAGCCACATGTTACCTCACACTCACAGCCACATGTAACCTCACACTCAAAGCTACATGTAACCTCCCTAACAGCCACGTGTAACCTCACACACACAGCCTCGTGTAACCTTACACTCACAGCCACATGTAACCGCACACGCACAGCCACGTGTAACCACACACTCACAGCCACGTGTAACCTCACACAGCAACGTGTAACCTCACACTCACAGCCACGTGTAACCTCACACTCACAGCCACGTGTAACCTCACACTCACAGCCACGTGTAACCTCACACTCAAAAGCAACGTGTAACCTCACACTCAGAAGAACGTGTAACCTCACACTCACAGCTACGTGTAACCTTACACTCACAGCCACATGTAACCTCACACTCACAGCAACGTGTAACCTCAGACTCACAGCCACGTGTCGCCTTACACTCACAGCCACGTGTCGCCTTACACTCACAGCCACATGTAGCCTGACACTCACAGCCACGTGTAGTCTGACACTCACAGCAACGTGTCACCACAAACTCACAGCCACGTGTAACCATACTTTTATAGCCACGTGTTGACACACATTTGCAGCTACGTGTAGCCTGACGATCCTAGTCACGTGTAGTATCACACTCACAGCCACGTGTCGCTTCACACTCACGGCTACATGTAATCTTACTCTCACAGCCACGTGTCGCCACACACTCACTGCCACGTGTAGCCTCAAACTCACAGCCACAAGTAGTCTCACACTCACAGCCACGTGTAGCCTTACACTCACAGCCACAAGTAGCCTCATAGAAACGTGTAGGCCCCACAGCCGTGTGTGGCTTCACTCAGACTCATACCTCCTGTCGCAGGCATGCTGGTCTGCCACTACATGCAGAGCGTCACCCAAAGTCTTTCTCTGGGCGCTGAAATCATGTACCAGAGGGGATCCCACATTCCTGAAGGCGAGGTTGGAGTCATGTCTTTGGCCAGTCGTTGGGTCGGTAGGTGAAACCAGTACCTGTATGTGTTTTCCTAGAGACCACTAGTCGTGTTGTCTCTTAGCTTGGCAAATGAAAAAAAAAAAAAAATAGAAGACTCTTAGTTTTCAACAGCGACATATTTACATGACTTGTTCTCCGTGTGGTTTGGGGGTCCTGATTGTGGAGTGTAAATATTGAACATTGAAAGAGGGTAGGAGGGGGGAAGAAACGGACTTTTAATCAAGTGGCAACTGGTACTATTATCACGATCACTCTTCGTTGGCTACAGATCTATCTATATATCTTCTTTTACTCCACCAGGACATCACACAAGCGATAAACACCCGATGATACAAAGTGTTACCATGTGGATGAGGATCACCCTCGAGAGGTCCCAGAAACCGCGTTCAGCCATTAGACCATATTTATGTCCTGGCTATATTGCGGCCACTGGCAAGAGCCAGAGTAGGTCTTTATGTAACAAACAAACAAACAAAAACAAAAACAAAATAATGGCATCCCTAAAAGAGATGACAGGATTGATGATAATAATGCTACAGAATTAGTAGTGGTAGTAGATTTTTACCCCACCTCATCACACAGACGATCAACACCCGATGACACAAGGTGAAGCCATGTGGATGAGTCCCAGAAACCGCGTTCAGCATTTAGGCCAAATTTATTTAGCCAGGCTGTATTGCGGCCCCTGGCAAGAGCCAGAGTAGGGCTTCAAAGTAACGAAAAATTGCATTCCATAAAAGGATAACTAGATAATTAAGTCTGGCTACACAAGAAGGGGCGGAGCACATAGAGGAATGTCCCACGTACAGTGATGTCAGTTCTTGATTCATGCATTCATTCAATGCAAATAGTTTCACAAGGTCCGACAGTTAAGTAATGAGACTAATTCCATAACAATTAAAATAATCAAAAGCTGAAAATATAACCTGTATTTTATTCAAAGTAAGCCCCTTGTGCGTCGATACAGCAAGTGGCACGATCTTAATAAACACTAGAACGACCTCTGTAGTTCTTCTGTTGTTGTGGCCCTTAAATTCGATGTTACAGCACTTTGGATGTCATCAAAATCGTCAAAGAAGCGTCCTTTCAATGGTAACTTTATTTTTGGGAATAGAAAAAAATCACATGGAGACAAATCTGGGGAGTAGGGTGGATGGCTGAGAACACACACTTGTTTTGGGCCCACAAATTCCTGTACAACTACGCTTTTTGAGCCGGTGCGTTGTCACGAAGAAGAAACACTTTGCCAGATGTTGAATACAAACCGACAAGCAACCTTTTTTCCCCCAGATCTTCCACTAAAATGTTACGAATAGTCTCTATAAACACCAGATTAATTTACCATCATCATTAGAGTCGAACAATGATCTTGTATCCGTTATCCTAATTTTGCAATGAGTTCATCAATACGAACAGAAATTGGGCATCCAGGTTTTATTGCATTAGTTATCATTTCCACACACTTTTTAATCGTAAATCCCAGCTGAAAATCTGTGCACGACATAAACAGTTTTTCTCATAAACTTGTCGCATCAGTTGAACTGTTGCAATGATGCTTTTTTTAGTTTTAAACTTCTTTTAATGTGAGCTTTTTTTCTCCATGTTGATTACATAACAATGCGCCTCTGACTAGATTAACAAAATGGCGGCTTGTTTGTTGTCTGCTTATCGGGCGGCGATGAAAAGTTTCCAGATCATAGGATTCCATGCTGTGATTCATAGATGGCATTTTTTCTTAGCCATAATAAAACAGTCTTATTACTTAATTGTCAGACCTTGTATAAGTGTTTTTAGAACGATACAATACACTTGAAAATGAATTTCGTAAAGAAGTTTTATGGAAATAGGAAAGGAGGGGCTGAAAGTGCTCAAGCTCCTAGGTTTTCCGGTGCCGCTGATCTGTATGTAGTATGTAGGAAGACATCTATCGTAGTTGCCTAAACCGGATTGCACGTTGACCGGGTGACGAACTCCTAGAGGTCCGGGTTCACTCCCGGGGGTAGGCAGAAAAGCCACATTTCTCCCAGATTTACGGTATTTAAAATGGAATCAAGGCCGAAAGGTTGCGATATCCATAATACCGAGCCTAAGGATTAACAGGGAGTCGCCGTGGCCGAGCGGCTAGACGCTCGCCGCGGATCGGAAGGTCGTGGGTTCGCTCCCTGGCGGAGCCGGACTTTTTTCAAAAATGACCTTGGCTCCCAGGTCGACCCAGCCTTGAGTGGGTACCGGGTGCAGTCCCGGGAAAGTAAAAGCGGCCGGCGTGATGCTGACCACATCACCCATCTTGTGCCGATTGGTCTATAAAAATATAGGTCTAGCCCTGTATGCCCTATACGCCTAAAGGCGTGGAAAAGGGTCCTTTTTTACTTTTACTAAGGATTAACAACTCATGGCTTCTGTATACTAAAACAAACAAACAAACAAACTTATGTCGCAGTTTGATAAACTATAGTTACCTTGACCTTGAACACACAGGTCAGAGGTGGCAGCTGAGTGCAAATGTCAGCCCGATGACCGGGAACCTCCACGCCTGCATGTACAAGAAGCTTCACGAGTGTTTGCAAGTTGGAACAGAGCTGGACAGCAACGTCAACACGCGTGAAAGCACTGGCACCGTGGTTTGTCAGCTGGACATCCCTGTAGCCGACGTGACGTTGCGAGGTACTAGCATCTGTTGAATGGCTTGGACGTTTTGTGTGTGTTCTCTATCTTTGTTTTCTGTCTTTATTTTCTGTAGTAGTCTGCTTTCTGGAAATGATGCTGAATGTTCCACGCTGATAGCACAGGAGAGTAGTGTAGTAGCGTAATACAGGTATTATTTGAGAAATCGATCTCTCTTTATCCTTAGTAAAAGATGGCGGCCAAAAGTGATTGGTTCTTTCTGGCGGGTTTATATATCCTTAGTAAATATCGATCGGGGCACCCGCCCTCTTTGTCCTTAGTAAATATCGATCGGGCGGTTGGTAACAGCACAAGTGATTGGTTTTAGGGAAAGGTATAGGAAATCTTCCTAACTGCAGGTGACAGGTGGCGTTATATAAAACGGGGGCAGGCAGGAACACTATTTAGGTGAGCAGCGCGGGGGCAGGGGACCCGGGGCGACTAATAGAGTTGGTGCGGGTTTATGTGGATGTCTGTATAGGTGATTGTATGAGGGGAGCCGTTTTAGACTTGCGATAAAGAAAACCTAGGAAGGCGACGTGGTGACCGGGGATATATTAGAAAGGGCAGTTTGGGCGCCGGCATCATCATCATCTGTATCATGGGAGCGAAGGTCGACCGCTCATGGATGGTTTGAGCTGTAGTAAAAAAGGACGACAGAATGCTGGGTGTCTGGTAATACTGTGGAGAGTCGAAGAGAAGGGGCATATTAGGCAGACTATCTGACTTTGTAAATAAGTGGGCGAAGGTTCTGATTGGTCAGTAGGCTTCAGTGGTTATTCTGCTGGAACAGTCGATTTAGGAAAAACTCGGCAGTTGGTGTCGCTCAACGGGGCACACCCGCCCGTCCGTACGCACGCACACACGCACGCCCGCGGGGGTCGTTTTAGGGGATAGATACAGAAACCTAGGAAAGTGGTTTGATGGTAGGGAGAAAGTGGGGCTGGGGCGCCATCATCATCATCCGCGTCGTCGTAAACTGTCCTTTTTCTTAGTAACGTTAAGCAGTTTAAGAATAGTTTTCAAATCGATAAAAGTAGCTGTTTGGAAACAGACACTATCATTATAAGTTATGGACCCGCGGTGGAGGCATCCCTTTACCTCTCTGATAGCCGGACCTACCGGTAGCGGTAAAACTGTATTTGTGCAGAAGTTTTTAAAACATTTGAACGCTATGGTCGACCCGGTGCCGGAGGAGATTATTTGGTGCTACGGGGAATGGCAACCTCTGTATGACAACATGGAGGGCGTCATCTTTAACGAAGGTCTTCCGGATATGGAACAATGGCAGGGAGATAGACGACGGTTAGTGGTCATAGACGATTTGATGTCTGAGACGGACGACAGAATCACTAAACTATTTACTAAAGGCAGTCATCATCGCAACATCAGCGTGATTTATATTATACAAAATCTTTTTGGAAAAAATAAAGAACAAAGAACCATCAGTTTGAACGCGCATTACCTGGTAGTTTTTAAAAACCCTCGTGACGGTTCACAGATCACCAACTTGGCCAAACAGATGTATCCCGGCCGCGTTTCCTACGTCCAAGAAAGCTTTAAAGACGCGACGGCTAACCCCCACGGTTATTTGCTGTTCGACCTCCGACAAGACACCCCAGACCAGCTCAGACTACGCAGCGAAATATTCCCCGACGATAAACGAGTAGTGTACGTACCTAAATAATGTCTGACAAATTAAAGCGACACGGCGAGATGCTGCGTTTTTTGTGCGAGGCGAAAGCCAACACAGCCAAAGACATCATAAAAACCGCCTCACCGGAGCTCGTACAGACACTTTGTGAATGTTGTTACAACGTATTAAAAGGTAATGTCGCCCTGACATCCGAGCAGAAGAGACGTTTGTGTCGTTACAAAAACAACCTCAGAGCGCTCACCAAAAAGAAACTTTCAATCAAAAAGCGAAAAGAGATTTTACAACACGGTGGTTTCTCGGGGCGTTATTAGCGCCAATACTAAGTGTGGTAAAAGGTATCTTGGGTTTCTAACCATGGCCAAGAAAATGATATTGATCGACCCGCGTATGATGGACTCTGTGTTTCAAAAACAATATGTACCACCCGATACAGTCAATGATAGCCTACGTGATTTGGATACTCATATGCAACATGTCCTGGAAAATGAAGAGCTGTCGCCTCGTGACAAAGCCCGACTATATCAACAGACATTACAACGTTACTTGACTCGTCTGGATCATTACCGACACAAGTCATTGGGCGTAGTGGATATTAAAACGCCCACAGAAACCCTACCGTCGCCGCCACTACCAGTAACACTAAAAACAGAAGACAACGAGTCAGTGAGTCATTCACCGTCGCCGGCTAAAACTGTCAAGAAGACAGCTGACTCTGAGACACCACCGGTCTCGTCATATAAACTGAGACAAAGAAACAAAAAGTCTAAAATACCTACACCAAAGTGGGAACAATGGCCACGCAACTGAAAAAACTTTACTATGATCCGAAACAACCAGGAGCCTATAGTGGGGCTGTAGCCTTAAGACGACACGCAAAAGTGCCAACTAAACAGATCAAAGATTGGCTCAGTTATGAAGATACATATACCTTACATAAACCTATACGGCGACATTTTAAGAGACGTCCGATTATAACCGGTGGACTTAACCAACAATTCCAAGCTGATCTGATAGATATGAGATCTTTACGAAAAGACAACGACGGTATGGCGTACTTGGTTACTTGTATAGACGTGTTCAGTAAATATGCTTGGGCCATTCCCATAAAAAACAAAACTGGAAAAGCTTTAGTGGAGGCGTTCAGTAAAATATTTACCGAGCGGCAGCCAATGAAACTGCAAAGTGACAAAGGGTCCGAGTTCCTTAATCGGACGTTCTTAAAGTTTCTTAAAGACGAGGGCGTGCATTTTTTCACGACAGAAAATGAAGATGTTAAAGCGGCGGTGGTGGAAAGATTTAACCGCACCTTGAAAGAAAAAATGTGGCGTTATTTCACCAAAACCAACAAGCACCGTTATATCGATGTGTTGGAGTTCTTTTTGCGAAATTACAACCATTCCTATCACCGCAGCATTCGTATGGCCCCCGTGGACGTTAACCGGCGTAACCAAGAGCAAGTATGGCAGACACTGTATTCGGATGTCGACAGCCAGGGCATACCTGTGTTTAAAGAAGGTGATCGTGTGAGACTCGCGCAGGCCAGGCAGACATTCAAGAAAGGTTATATGGCTTCCTGGACCGAAGAGCTGTTTACCGTCAGCCGCGTCAACAGAACCAACCCGGTAACTTATGTGCTAAAAGACGATTCGGGTGAGGAACTCCGCGGGTCGTTTTATAAGGAAGAAATACAGAAAGTTGGCGACAAAGAAATTTATCGGGTGGAAAAGATTTTACAAGAACGACGAGGAGCCCGTGGTGGTAAAGAATATTTAGTCAAGTGGTTTGGTTATCCGACCTCATTCAACAGCTGGATAGTAGACCAACAACTAGAGAGGTACGAAAATTAGTGTTATGGAAGCCATTGATGAAGTGGATGAAATTACCGTCTTTGCAACAGAAACAGAAGCTGACGGTAAACGACCGTGGTTCAGTAAACTACGGCCGCGACCTGAGGTTGTTTTCCTCTCTCAGATGGTGATTATATACATCGTCATCAGTGTATCACTATTCAATCTGACGTACGGCTCGGCGAGTGAGGCAGAGGGAAAATTGTGGATCGTGCTCTTGTCTAGTTGTTTGGGTTACCTATTACCGAATCCGAAAATAGAGACGGTCTTAAAGCAACCATGAGTTTTTTACGTGACGCTACCCAGCAACGCCTCGCCAAAAATATTTCCCGACAATAAACCGGGTCACTTTTTCGTCAAACTGCCGCAGACCATCGAATTGAGTTCACAGTATGAAATCGGCCTGGCAGAGATTCAATTTCCCAGCAGTTATTTTAATATCCTGGAAGATGATATCTGGATCGAATACACCCCACCCAAGGACAGCAAAAAGGTAACTCAGAAAATTACATTACCGGCTGGTGTCTACAAGACAGGTGAAGATTTTATCGATGCTTTGAATCTACTGCTTTTAGAAAACGAGGAGGGTGGTGATGCGATATTGCGAATCCATTATAACAAGTACACGAAAATGGTCGTCATGAAACTTTACGAGAAAGGCGCTCAGATTGTTATATGCGAACTCTTGAGATCTATTTTAGGCCTCACCAACCTGTGTCTGACCAACACTGACATACCACTAGTCGGTGATTATGAGGTAGATATCGATAGCGACATGAGTAATGTCTACGTCTACTGTGATCTCGTCGCGGCGAGACCTGTGGGTGATGTCATGGTTCCCTTATTGCGTACCGTCCCTATTATGGACAGAGTTTCATCTTCTGTGTTTCGCATCTATGACAAACCACACTACGTTCCTATGAGTCGTTTTTCTTTTGACACGGTGGAAATACTTTTAACCACCGACACGGGAAAAACTATACCATTCAAGACTGGATCTTCGGTGGTGACGTTACATTTTAGAACTCGGAAACATTTCAATCTAGAATAATGGTGAGACACGTGCCCTTACTTCGAAGTCCTGAAATGTACGAAGATTTTTACTGTCAACAAGCAGGACATGGCTTACCGGTATTTATCGGCGGAAGAAGTCAACGTGGACGAGGTCTGGGTAGTTTCTTCAGCGGTTTAGGTCGCATGGTTCTTCCTTGGTTAAAGACAGGCGGTAAAGCCCTGTTAAGAGAAGGTGTCGGTACGGGTTTGCAAGTTGCCCAAGATGCTTTAGCCGGTCGGAATGTCGGAGAGGCGTTTAGAGAACATGCCAAGGAAGCGGGGAAGAGGTTACTTCAAGGAGCTGTTGATCACGTGGCTGGTAACCAATCAGGAAGCGGGATTCGTCGACGCCGCGCAGCGCCACCTGGTGAGCCTCTGAGTAAAAGGTTTAAAGCATCACCCCGATCTCGTCCTTCTCACAAACATCAGCTGCCTCAGAGGAA